CTTTTTCATAATGCTTCTCTTATGAATATGAGTTATGAACATCTCTCTATCACTGGTAAAAATATCAGCCCATTTGGTCAAAATATGACGAGAACATTTAAATTTTTTTTTGTTCTCAATGACATATTGGATAGGAAAAAGAGGGGGAAAGACTTTTGCCCAGGAGTGTATTTCTTCTCAAATGAACAAAATGTATTTTTCTTTTGTGAAAACCTCATTTTTCAAAGTTCTTTTTTCGGATGAAGAGGGATTGATGTGCAAAAACGATTCGCAGAGCATAGTCTTCGGCTTTATAGCTCTAGCATGCATAGTATTGTACACGTGTTTATCTCGTTGAAATTAGTCTATTGAAATTTTCTTTCTAGATAACACAGTGGATAAAAATATTAATAACAGCTATGAATGCTTGCTGGAGACAAAGTCCGTTAGTTCGTCTTGGTTTTCTGAGCTAGCAGGCAAAGTATGGCGCTGGATCACCAACAAAAAGCCAACATATATCTCGATTCGACATGAAACTGACTAAACAATACGATTGAATATTGTTTGTTGTTGTGTTCGTAGTGGTAATGACTATATGATGTTCTTTGCTTGAAATTTGCTTGCTTGCTTTTGTCATTTCGTAATTCTCGAATTATATTTCGTTTTTTTTCTATACTGTTAAGTATCTTGCTGTTCCCCATTCGGTAATGATGGCCAATCTTACTAATAAAATTCTCGTATCATTTGACGCAGATTATTTCTCGTGAAAGAAAAACCTCCGTTTAATGAATTTGATGTAGATCTTATTCAGTCAAACATATCAATTGATATTCAAAAGAAAGATATCATTCTGCATGTTTTGACTCAGAATAGATTTAATTGTGAACCCTAAATCGAAATACGGTTGAGTACGTCATTACCGAAAACAACATGATTGCAACTACTATAGGAATATACCGCAGTTTTCATGTTTCTTCGACGATTTTATTTTCGACCATGAACATACTGACCGTTCTGCTTATCTTTACACTCGAGAAGAAATGCTATCGACTTTTCTCGTTTTTGAAAACAATAGAAGCAAAACCTATATTATGTTGATGAAAAATTTCAATAGATTCGACTTCTAAGATGTTTCTTAAATGTCTGACTCGCAATCAACGACGATCAACCATATTCAGGCGCAAATTGCTAAAATACTTCTACTGTTGTGAGGCGTTCTTTTATCAATAACAAAAATCACTCGCTTTTCTCGTTCAAAATTTCATTTTCTAGAAGAAAAACAAATCGATACATTGTACCATTTTTATCTCATGTATATTCATGAAAACAGTTTTCAGAAAATATGTCAAACTACATAGTTATTCAATAGCTTGATGCTTTTTTGCCGTGAAAACCTTATTCATGCACAATCTTCGCTTTCGTAATACTTTAATCTCAATTATTCTTGTTCTTTTTGTCATCTTCATATTACTTCTCTACCTGGTGAATCTGTACGTTTTCATCTTTCTTTTTTTCTTCAATTAGAACCATATTTATTCATTTTAATCTGATTTTAGATTTATTAGCTTTGGTTTCGACATATGGTCGGAGAAGATTGTAGCTAGCAGCAGTCCGACCATCTTCACCAACGTCACCTCCATTGAAATTCTACTCAAAGAATTAATCAATTTGATGAACAACAGCGTCTCATGGAGAAATTCTACTAGATGAACTCAATCTTTTTCTTTATCATATAGTTCTCAGTGTTTCTTTCTTTTGTCTTCGTACCATATTTCTAGTCTTTTCAAGTCAATCATACTGTGATCTACGTTTTATTCGATGGTATCAAATACATGTCAGATGATCTCCTTCTTACTTTTATTCGATATATTATAATTAGTTTGATCTTGTTTTTCAACCAATTATATCACCACCGACTTTTTATTCACTCGTGAAAAAAGAGTTGGTCATGTCACCAACAATGCTTATCTCAACGAGATCTTCCATTTGATATAAGATAGTAGGGGTTCCGTTGAAAAAAGTCCGACAGGCCTATTTACGATCAAATGCGCCCCCCCCTCTTTTAAGTTCCTTTTTACAAATATTGAACACAAATAAAACGATGATAATTTTATTGATTAATTTTCCCAATGTACAATATAGTTAACTATTATTATAATGATTTTATTTATTTCGAAACCAAATATAGTAAAAAACATTGAATTTTTAACAAATAATTTCTCTCTCATTAAATGAAAAATAAACTGGAAAATGAATTTTGTAGATCGACATGAAAAATCGTTTTAACAAGTTTTTTTCTTGTGTCATAGCAAAAAATACAAAAAAAAACCACCCTCATGAAATATAATAAAATTCAGTTCTTACAGAATAATACATATAATGATAATGTTTCTATGATATAATACAAACATGTTTCTTCTCTTTTTTGACTTCCAAAAGTAAAATAAAAAGAGGATTGAGTTGACTATCAGATGGATCAATTGAACCTAATAAGTCTTGTATTTTATCAGCATTTAATTCCATCAAATATTGTTTAACTCGATCACGATATTCAATAGGATCTTCATTATTAGCCATACGTTTCATAAATTTATGATTAGTATGTTGATCAAAAAATGAATCTGGTATTGAAAATGGTTCTCGTCGATGAAAGAAAGTTGGCTGTTCATTAATTGATAAATCTTTTGATAATTGTATATTTAATTGTGTATTCTTAAATGCATTACTTATTTTATTCACGATATCTTCAGCATGTGATTCTCTTAATGGATTAATATCTTCTTTACATATTAGTTGAATACAACATGCTTCTAATACTTTTGTATCACGAAGAGCTAATCTTTGTTGAATAGACCAATCTTTTGTACGATTATTTGCTATAATAATTCTGTCAAGTTTTGAACATAAACCAATTGTATTATTATCTTTTAAATTCATAATAAAATCTCGTTTCATAATAGTTATTTTTCTTGCAAGTAATTCAGGTAAACATGGAAAACGTACACATAAATTACATAATTCATCTAATTTTTTTTTAATTCCTTTTTGACTAATTGATACAATAATATTCGATATACTTTGTAAAATAGTTTTTGCTTCAGGAACTAAATCAGCTATGACTTGAATACTTCTATTAAAATCAGATTGTTGAATAGCAAATATATCAGCATCAGCTATAACTGCTGATTGAAATAAACTTTGAAGACTTCGTTGAACTTGTGTAAAATATTCCATTAATTTTTCATTCTTTAATAAATCATAATTACGTTCAAGTGTCTCAATATCATTTGAAACGTTGGTAACAGTAGCAATGGATGTAGTCTTTGAAGACATTGAAATACTTGATTGAAGTTGTTGTTCAAATACATCAAAAGTCATAGTTAACCAACGTCTTGCCAATATGGGATCTCTAAATATTCCATTTTTACTCATTAAAATATCACGAATAATTTTCCATGGTTCTGATTTAAGGAAAAATAAACATTGTTTAACATTTGATGAATTATCATTAAAATAATTTTCAATATGTTGATATGTACGACAATCATCACGTTTTTCTAAAATAGATATAAATTCTTCATCTGAAATTTTTTTATAAAAATTTGTAGTTATATTTTGTTTTTCTCCACGTAATACTTCAATATCTTTTGCATAAAAATAAGGTTGATATATTTCATATTTTACTTCATCTTTTCCCGAAAGATTTAATAGAAGATCTTTTATTTCAATTAATCGTCCGTGAGCATCTCGATCTTCATCAACAAATTTCTGTAAACATGTTTCTAATGATATTTCATAAACATTTGGATGAAAATTTGATGAATCTAATTTCATTTTAAAACAATTTTCTTGATATAAACAGCATAAATATGTAGCAAAATCAGCCAGAAAACATGCACATCCCATACCAAGAATTGCTCCATTTTGTTGACAATTATCATGAATTGCAACTAAATCACAATCTTTTTTAATACTACTTAGAAATGTTGGTGTACCTGGTTGATAAATTAATAATTTATATGTTCCAATTATTGAAAAAAAATATGTACATCGTCCCCAATCATCTGTTAAAGGCTCTAATGACGTTGGTATAACATGTAAAAAATTAATATTATCTCTTAAACGATCTTTTAATTTCTCATGAAAAAAATCACAATTTAATTCAGCTATAAAATTTGTTAATCGTTGAAGAGTAAGATGATTTTTTTTAACTACTGATATTTGATTATTACATAATTCATGTTGTAATCCGGTC